TTAACCAACTTTTAACTTCGACAGGAACGTTGACCTTGAAACGTTAGTAATAGCAAAATAGCCAATAGAAATAATCGCAACCGCAACGTCGAACCGCACCGTTTTCAATCTATAAATCGACCTTAAGACTGACAATGTAATTTGTATAGGTACTTGTTTTGTATTCTTTTTTGTTTGGCTGTTTGTTTACTTTGTTTGTTTACTTTATCTTTGTCTACAAATTGTAAAATTTTTTGACAATAAAGGCATTTATTTTATTTTATTTTTTCGTCAAGAGTTTAAAGTGTTATATTTTTTTACTTTCAGTCCTATTGTCATGAATTTTTTGGCAAACCGTATACAAATCTATCAACTTTAATTCATAAACTCAGTTTTTTAGAAACTTTGGTATTTGTCTTATTATACAGGGTTAATTGAAGGATTGTTTTTCCCCTACCTTTAAAACATCCTGTGCAAGAATTTCGTGAGTAACTTTTCCTAAAACATTATTTTTCGATCAGAACCACGGCTCCTGACCATTTTGTTTTTTTACTCATGTCAACACATGCCTTGGTTAATTTTTAAGAGCGAAATGAACTTGCTACCAACAATTTGCAATTATTTCAACAATCATTAATTTATGATGGTGGCTGTTGTCATAATGTCATATCGATACTGATTAGAACTAAATATTAAAATTTAAAAAACGTTAAAAAGTAACGATACAGGCTTGGTTTTAATAAATATTGGTAACACTAAAATAACAGAACAAAGAATAATAAAAAAATAACTGTAATAACTAAGTGTACAAACAAACAAAAAATTTGTAAAAACTACTCTAATACTTTGAATTGCTTCCCCCGGCTGCAATAACTCTCTGTAAACGTCGCGCGTCGGTTCATAGTGTTAATGAGGCTGCAAATATATTGTGTTATGTTTTCCCATTCTTCGTCAAGGACCAAGCGAATATTCACAATTTCGACCATCTTCATCAAGATCAATGACTTTTGCACCAATCTTCGATACTAAGAACCATATTCAATAGTACACAACAATAATCACCAAAGTCACCTCGTCATTATGAAGAATAACATCAAATAATGATAACTGAAAAAATTGCAAAATGTTAGTGGCTCATTTTGCTCTTAAAATTTAACCAAGGCATGTGTTAACATGAGTCAAAAAACAAAATATTCTGGAGACCTGGTTCTGACCGAAAAATAATGTTTTAGGAAAATTTGCTGACGAAATTATTGCACAGGGTGTTTTAAAGATGGAGTAAAAACAACTCTTCAATTAACTCAGTAAAATAAGTCAAATACAAAAGTTTATTTATTGACTTCCGCAGGACCAAGACCAAGCATGCACGTTTTTTGATGTCTTGAATTTTTTTTACGTGTTTATATGATAAATTACTTATTTGTTCAAAATTATTGTTTTAATTAGTTATAAACATTATTTTCCCGAGTATTGCTTTTAATTTTTTATTTATTAGACTATTTAAAAAAAGAAATGCTGATTCAATATAGCATATTGAAAAACAGTGGCGGATACCATGGAGTGGGGCCCATGGAGCCAAGGCCCCCCCTAAAATCTTTGAATTGTGTTAAATATTAGGCTTATGGGTTAAAAATCGCGGTCTAAAAAGCATATTCTACCTTACATTTTATTTACCCCCCCCCCTTAAAAAATATCCCGGGCCCCCCCTAAAATAAATTTCTGTATCCGCCCCTGCTGAAAAATAAAAATTTTCGTCACACAAATATTATAGGAAAGTAATAATGTCTTTCTTTAAAGTTCAAATAAGAGAAGGGTCTGACGATTGACATACATTCATAATAGAATTTAAAAGTAGTATAATTATATAAAATAGTATTTTACAGTGAGCAAATAACAAAAAATATGCATAAATGAAAAAAAAGAGAAAAGTGTCACTAGCGGACAAATTAACATACAAGCCTACTAATAATCGTAGGCCTCTAAAAAACCTTTTGCTGCCCTAATTTCTTCCCAGCCGCATGCATACGTTCCAGGGTCAATCACCATCTCAGTGTACAGTTCAAAGTAGAGATGTCCTAAACTATCGATACATGGCCAAAATATATGTATTTTTATCAAAATATATATATAAACAGCTTAATGAATAATCAAATGTATTAAAAAGAGATAAACATTTGATGATGATTGTTGATACATTTCTTCTATGCGGTATTGCCGGATTTTGCGTCAAAATTTCAAACCGGCTAAATACGAAAAATAATATGGGGTTGGATCTTTAATTTCCACAACTGTTACTTATTTTACTACAGCTGTAATAGAGTCTTATTAAGTCTCAGAACTACGTTGTGTGGCTGGCGAAACTACCAAAACATACATGATATTAGGACTGTAGATATTTTATACCATGTTATCAAGTAACTGTCTAACAGAAATGAGCATTATTAAAGAGCTTAGATATATTATCTTCGTTTATTATGTTATCTCGCGTACGAACCGGCAATACTGTATGTCGCTTTTTATTTTGTCTCTTTGTCTGTCAACTGGTCGTATAAATTTATCTCTGTCGTATGCATTAAAATACAGACCACGGTAATAATAATGGCAGTAGTCGAAAATTATTTAAATATGTTTTAAGTAATCTCTAGAATAAAAATAAGATAAAAACTTATTATTGCGAATATTTGCTGATTTCATTCTGTTGTCCTTTACTCCTGCGTGGAGCATAGGGCTTCAATAAACGCTCTCCAGCAGGTTCGGTTGTTGGCAATTTACTTGACATCTCGCCATGATCGGTTTACTGCTTCGATCTCCTTTTTAATTGTCCTTTGCCAATGTATGTCTTGGACGACCAGTTCTTCTACTACTTTGATTCCACTCAATAGCTCTGCCAGCGATGTTGTTGCCGCTTCGCCTTAAAGTGTGACTAATCCACCTCCAGTTTCTAAGTTTGATCTCGTTATACACCTGCCTCTGGTTGGTCAAGCTCCATAAATCCTCATTTCTGATAGTATCTGTCCAGAATATCCCTACAATTTTTTGCAGATAGCGGTTTATGAAAACTTGGAGTTTGTTAATTAATGGCGATGTAATTTTCCAGGTCTCTGCACCATACAGCAATACTGACTTGATATTCGAATTGAAAATTTTAAGTTTGGCAAGTTGAGAGTACTGTCTAGAACTCCAAATATTGTTGAGCATTCCACATGTTATTCTGGCCTTGTTTATTCTTTTTTTATTATGATATCACATTTATGATATCTTGCTCTGTGCCTCCGTTGGTTAGTACACTACCTAAGTAAGTAAAATTATTTACCTCCTCTATAGGTGGTGTTCTAATGAAAAAGGGAGCGACGTTGTTGGTACAAGCTGCCATCTCATATTTGCTGATTTAGTAAAGAGTTATAATATAATGATATAAAAAAAAGATTTTATGATTCGCTTTTTTTGAATCATTATAGACACGCCACTGGTTGGCGACTAACCTTAAAAAAAACAAATTCGTTCATACTATCGAACGTCCCACCTTTGTCGATACGTTTCTAAAAAAGCCCATCTCTAGTTGAGATGAGGAGCACAACGGTCCATACACCATTGCAACGATGGCGACGGGGCGTCGTCGCCGGGGCTGCGGTGGCGCCGCGACGCCGGTCGTCGACCTCGAGACCGACGGCGGCGGCTTCGAGCAGACGTCTGCCCAGGTGGGGACTCCCTAATGAGTCACGGGGTACATTGTGGAACGACAGATTACCAAATTAAAAATCAATCGCAATTCAAGAATAATTTATTATTTCAATAAATAATATTATTTTCTAGATAATATTATTAAATTCCATACGATCGAAAAAAAATGGGGAATGACAAACGATGGTAATTTTGGCGAGGTCAAGCCCTAAACGTCATTTACTTGGCCCGTACTCTACTTTATTTTTTAATAGCGCTAACTGCCAGTAGCCCTTAAGAAAGTTGTAATTTATTTTTTTGCTGAGTAAAAATGATTCTATAATATGATGTTTTCGAAAAAAAAATATTTTTTTGGAAATAGACGTGTGTCTGGAATTGTTCTATCATTTTTTAATCTTTCTATAATTGGTGTTAATTTTTGAAAAGTTTTATGTCAATTTTTAGTTAATGACGTCTTGAGATTGACCTCGCCAAAATTATCATCAACGGTAATTTCCCAGCCGTTTTAGACGCCGTTTTTTTTTCGATCATACGGCACTTACTATACTGGGTGGTGCATCGTCGTTGGAAACATAGCAATCCCATGCAAATTTTGGCTCCTCTGTTGATTTTAAAGCGAACTCGTAAATAGATTTTTTAAAGATCTGCATACGCTGAACACACATGCCAAATTTGAACAAAGTTTTTAAGTAATTTAAGAAAAAGTGCATCTACTTTTAAATTAAAACTGATCGGATAACAATACAAAATCGGGCAAATGGCAACATACCTTAAGTTGTTAATATATAGGTACGTGGATATAATCAATACCATTGAGATTAGCATTAGAAAAGATGTCTCGATCATCACGACATGCCATTTTCCTACCTTCTCTATTGCTCTTATGAAGCGTTCAATAGATTTATCTCTTCCGAGGACTCTACTTTGCGCAGGCGCATTAAATCTGAACGAATTTCAAATATAATTACCATATTCATCATAAGTATTGTGGGGTACGCAATATCATATTGAATTTGTATTTTTTGTGTATGTGTACTATTTTTTGTATATTTATGTTAATTATAATATATATATATATATATATATATATATATATATATATATATATATATATATATATATATATATATATATATATATATATATATATATATATATATATATATTTTAATAATAATGCAATCAAAATTTATTGCTGTTATTTTATTGGGCTGTTTAGCCCATTGATAAATAAATAAATAAATAAAAAATGTATGTCATAAAACAATAGGTAAATATATTTTAAATAATAAAGATAATAAAGATGCAATCACTGCAATCTAGAATAAAAAATCACTTACCTTGCTAAAGTAGCCCACTGTGTGACAACCTTCCCCATCCACCAATGTCATAACGTAGAACAGAAACGGTTCCACGTCGTAATACAAAGTTTTATGGTCCAAAAAGAACTTCGCCAAAAGACAGAGGTTCTGGCAGTATTGCTTGTATTTCTTGCCGTCCACCTAAAATAGAAAATACACGCATTGAAAATAATTCTGTAATACTTTAGACTACTAGCGTGTACCAGCGACTTCGTTCGCGTCGAATTAATCATTTGTAATGGTGATGATAAAGCAAATATAGAAAACTTCGTAATATTTGAGGGGCAGTTTCATCTCGTTGGAATTTGACTTTCGAAAAATCCGTTTGCCAAAAATAAGCCTTTTACGTCAAGCAGTTTAAGCAGAATCGTGGTTAATCAATGACCAGATTTTTCGAAACGCCCTGTATACATTTTTAAAAAATCTTAAAATATTAAAAAAAACAAAATAAAATATACGTGTTTAAGCGTTTTTTCGGAAACTTGACCGTTTTTTAAATAAAAAATATTGTAATATTTGAGGGGTGGTTTCACCCTTTTGGAACTGGAATTTCGAAAAATCCCTTCTTATCGAACCTCTACACCCTAGAATCAACCTGTATGCCAAAATTGAGCTTCTTACGTTGAGTGGTTTGAGCAGGATCGTGATTAATCAGTATGTCAGTCACTTAAGGATTTTATATATTAGTATAGATAATTATATAACTTTACATGAACACGATGCAAACGTAAATGGCCAAAAATTACTTGTTGGGTCAATCTTTAAAAAAGATATATGATAACATTACTTTTTGATCTCCTAGGCATAGATTCCGGCGGTTTGCACACAGAGCTGCAAGCTCACAGAAAACATAACTCTTTTTTTTAATTTAAATCATTTTAATAAGTAATTTGTATTTTAAGTCATTTTTAAAAAAGTGACTTAAGACTTAAAATTTAAGTCTTTTTAAAATGATTTATGATTTAAATCTTTATTCCGAAATAGAAAAAGATTTAAGTTTTTTTCAAAAGGTTTAAGTCAGATTTTTATGATAAATTTTTAACAGCAGCATTTCTTTTTAAACTGGCGGCAGCCAAGCAGCAGAATAAAAAAACAATGCTCAATACCATTAGTAAATAAAATGTTTTCGGAAACCGGTTTTGATTATTTGACGTGTTACGCGTGCATAGTGAGTCTGGTGACTTTCTAGTGAATCCCCGACTCCGTTATGTAGCTCGAAAGACGAACGAAAGAAATTTCTCTGGATTATATTAAAGAGTGCCTTAAAATCCTTCAGCCCTTAGCTTATGCCATCGATATATTACAAACACATCACCACGTTTTAATAGGCATATATTCGATGAGATCTAAAGGTGTCTTAACTGTTATGGAAACATATAAAGAGTACTACAAAATCGGTTAAATTTTATAAAAGAAAAGCCGTTTTACTTCATTTGGTTTTAGTCTTATCGCTTAATTGGTAGTTTTTTTTATTTTTTTTTATTTTATCTTTTTTAATTTTATTTATCTTTTTTAATAGCAACAACTAACCATAAAGCTTGATTTTCATGCTTCCGTTATCCGATGATACGATGATACGATATTAATTTTATTGGTTGAATTTAAAGGCTTCGATTGGTTAACCGTTTCTAACCAATCGAAATCTTTAAATTCAACCAATAGAATTAATAGCGTATCATCGTATCGTCGAACAACGAATGCACGAAAATCAAGCTTAACAGAGTTTCCTCTATGATAATATGACAGAATACAAAAAACTGAACAAGTCATTGTAATGTAGACACAACTTGGTCTGTACGTTTTATCCGCACCGTTTTGTCGACGCTAGCACTAATCATACGATAAGTCGTTGCGTGTAGACCACGCTTTAGTCCATACTCACCTCCCAAACGCTAACTTTCTCCTTCCTATAGACTTCTTCCCCAGGGGGATGGCGCCAAACGCACTTCATAACGTGCCTCTCCAATATCGTTCGCGATTTCATATAGCGCAAGCAAAACTCGCATATATACAATTTCGGTAAACGGGCGTAGTCTTCTGGATAAGGACTTTGGTACCACACTTCCATTTCGAATTTACCCATTTCAATGTATTTCGTTCCTAGAAAAATATATGAAATCAACAAATTTTGTTTTTTTTTGAATATATAAATATAAAAAATATCCCATTTGTTTTGCGAGCTTTTTGGTACACCCTGTACATGTTGTCCCCTTTTAGTGTGTTTTACAGGGTTTCTCGTTTATGAGTAGAGGTACAAATATGTGGTTTTGACATCATTATGACACATTTTTATGAAACTAAAGATGCTATACACAGATTTGTCCTATCCCTCTTAGCTCCTGAAATACAGGGAGAATTTGAAATCGTTGCATTTTTCTGACTGCCCTCGTATCTCGGTTATCCTATAACTTATCGAAAAGGTGAAACCTGTGTCCCATAGAGTTTTTGATGTAAGTGGTTTTTCGCTGGAAACTGTCATTCTTGAAGTATGACCAAACTATTTTTTTTTAAATGAGATATCTGTATATATATTTTTTACTTTATTTGTCTTGTTATGAGCTTTTTAAAAATGTTACTCTATACTTTTTATCAACATGGTAAAAAATAAATTATTTAACTTTTTAATATACAGTATGTCCCCGGATTGTCTTTAAAAGAAAAACTTTTTTATTATTGACATTTTGAGAAAAATGTATTCTTCATAAAAATTTTTGCTTGTTCTAAAGTGGTTAATCCCGTTTATACTTTTCCAAATTTCCATATCGTTTTAGAGAAAATTAAATAAAAACATGAAAATATTGTTGAATTTTTCCTAATAACAGAATGTCTTAAAAATCAAAAGGCGTTTCTGTGGTAACATCATTTCGATTTCATTCTTAATAGATTGTTATTGATCGAATTTTAATTAACGTCATATTTTTTGCTGGTTTAAAAATGTCAAAGAAGCATAAAATTTATTTAGTTCAAGGCTACAAAAAGGGTGATAATAGTTATCGGAAAATGTGATACCAAAGTTTACAGAATTCTGTAAACTTTGGTGATACTTTTGACAGCAAAAAATATGACGTTAAGCATAATTAGGAATATAAAATTAGGAAATATAAAAAAAATATACCATAGAAACGCCTTTGATTTTAGACTGCACAATAAGATAGTTTTAGTAAGAAGAACCTCAAGAAAACCACTATAAATTAAAAGATTTGTCAGCTACATATTAGAGGGTCCGGTGAACTATCCTGACACACGATTTTTGCATTTTTCTTTTTTCTATCAAAAAGTAACCATTTTTAACAGTTTAAATAAAGTAGTTTTAAATAAAAATAAATGGAGATTATGCGCAGAATTCATCAGATTTTAGCAGAAGAATCCCAGAAGTTCATTTTAAGGTAACATAAACTTCATTTTCTAAGAAAAATCGTGTGTCAGGATACTTATTCACCGAAGCCGAATGTTGATTTAGCGCAATTTCTAATATGGGTATAATTTAATAATAGATTACCTTTAGTGCTTGGCAAGCTTTTCAAATCTTCCTCTATCTTTTCACTTGCCATAGCTTGAGCATCTCTAAATAGTTTCAGATCATATTCAGGTACGAAATTATTTAGGTCCGGCTCCTTATTTTTATCTATTTGAGGTTTGATATCTAAAAACATCAACATATATTTAAGGATATAATTAATTTAAAGTAATTATTAACCACCTTCCATGGGTTCCATTTTAAACTTAATCCTTAGATCTTTGATTCGAGCCAAATACAGTTTCTGTTCAACCGTGGCCTGTTTAGGAGATTTAATATAATGTTCTGACGCTTTTTTACGTATCTCTTCCCGTTTTTTCCTTTCAGTCAGTTCCTGTTTGCATTGTGATATCTACAATTAAATCATTTTAAGTTTATAATAGACGACTAAAATTCATAAAAAGGCAATCATATATTTGAACTTATTTTCTTAATATAGAAAGACCAGCGAATTTCTAAATATAGCTGTTATTTTATTGCATTGCTCTGTTTTTTACTAAATTTAGTAATATCAAATTCAAAAGACGAAGATATGGAAGATATTTAAAGATGCAAGTGATCAAGAATATATACCCTGGGATTAATATTTTAGCGTCTGCCCTCTTTATGTTTTCATGTAAACACACAATCTTGTATCAAAGCCCTGAGACGGTATGATATATTATAACTTATTATAATTCAAGAAAGAGGACAAAATAAATGTAATAAAATAAATCATCAAAAAACTGCAGCATTTTAAATATGCCCTACTATTACCAAAAAGTAGTTTTTTTGCTTTTCAAAAAATGTTAACCAGCCTTATTAAAAATATAGTCTAAAATAAAATTATGACATATAAACTCAAAATTGAGTACACAAAAAAATCTTTCCTGTTGCTTCTATATGGATCAGTACCTAATTCTGTAATATAAGCAAATATACTTACTGTAAAATTGTGATATAAAGGACATGCTTCTAAAGTAAAGTGCTTGTCAAATTTCCCACTCAAATGTCCCATGCTGTCACACCCTTCCAATGGACATTTTCTCTCAACTATAACATTATCTACCACCTTCGACTTTGTATCGTTCTTTTTATTATTCTTAGTTTTTCCTTTAGTAACACCTGGCGCCCTCTTTACAGGAGAACGACTCAGAGATCTTTTGGTACTTTCAGTATCTGAGTCAGTATCTGAATATACACTTTTGCCCAAGACATGTTTTGACTTGCGTGTACTAGCTGACCTGGTTAATTTTCTCGTAACCTAAATAAATTAATAAAAATTAAAATATGATGAATTTAGTTAAAATTTGTGAAAGCACCTGTTGTGATTTGTTAGGTTCAGTCTCTGAATCTGAACCCACTGCATTTTCTTTTGTCACCGCAACTGGTTTCTTTACAGGTTTTTTAACAATTTTTCTTTCTTCTTTCTCAGAGGATTCTTCACTTGACTCACTATCACTACTACTGCTTGCTGATGCTAAAACAAGAGTTTATCCATATTAATTTAAATCACACTGTATATCTATTAATTATAAAAAATGTTGGCAAAAAACAATACCCGATGTTGATGTAGCTGAACTAGCAGAACTCTCTTTTTCAGGAACTTTTTTTTCAACCACTTTCTTTTCATTCTTTGATTTTTCAACAGGTTTTGCTGCTGCCTTTGGTCTGGGTTCCGGTTTTGACTTGGACTACATTAAAAACTTTTATATTATAAAAAACACATATACCTTTTTAAGATTTCAAACCTGTGAAGTGGTTTTAACTTGCTGAGCCTTTGAAACTGGTTTTCCTGCTTCTGAATCAGAACTATTCTCTGGAGAAAAAATACTTTTCTTCTTAGGATCTGAAACTTTTGATGCACTGACATTTTTCTGATTAGCCTTTGATTTAGTCTCTTTGGACGCAACATTTTTAACTTGTCCCTTAGAGCCTTGCCCATTTTTGCCAGCTATATTTTTAGCAATAGTTTTCTGTGATAATGCTGTAGATGGTTTTGGTGTAATTGTTGCGCTAACCTTAGGTTTAACATTACTTTTTCTTTTTACCTAGATCAAATTAAATTTGATAAAATAAATCATTACAAATGCATTACACAGAATTACTTGTTTCACAACTTGTTTGTCATCATCATCTGTACTATAATCTGGTAATGCTTTTTGAGCTGTTGATTTGCCCAACTGTTTTAAAGGTGCTGTTTTTGTTTTAACTGAAGCCTTAGGTTCATTTTTGCTTGCATTTGAAGGTTTGGAACTATCGCTGCTTTTACGAGGACTTTTCTAAAAATGAAAAAAATATAAATCACAGTATATCCTTGAATTGTTATGAAAATTAAATATACACTTTTATTACTATTTGGGTACTATTTTAGAAAAATACCAACTTGTATCGGAGCAGTCTTCTTCTGGGTTTCTGGTTCTGAATTTTTGATCGATTCCTGAGAGCTAGATGATTCGCTATCACTTGATGAACTAGAATCTGATCCACTTGATGAGGAACTCGAAGAGGAAGACCCCGAAGTAGTTTCGGAAGAGGATTCTGAAGAGGCACTACTCTGAAATATGAGATAATATTATTTAAAATGATTTAGAACAGATAATATAAATACCTTTTTCTTTCCAGTCATATTGTTGTTAAATAAATTCAAATGTAAACACCAAATTATCCAAATATGTCAATTTTACATTCAACTTAACCTAACTCATTTCTTCTTCTTTTCTTGAATAACGTCTTTTTTTTGCTGCTAGAGCTGACTATATAATCATATTTATATATATTAACAAATTCAAAGCTGGCTAGCTCTGGCAGCTATGGCCTAAAAACCAACAACAAAATTTTTGGTGTTTTATCTTAATCTGTAGCGCAGACCATAGAACTGTATTTAATAATAAATTCTAATCTATAGGTAGGTCATATATAAACTAGTTCAGTAACAGTTCTGAAAAAAATATATGATATTAAATAGGTCGATTTTTTTAAATCCACTTTAAAATTTGTATATCCATCCAATGCCTTCTATTAAAAGATCAGCCTGCGGGCGAGATTTATGACGTCACGCTAGTTAGATATAACGGATTAATAAATATGTTGTAGAATACATGGAAAACATAATTATTCCTCAGATTTTTGGTTTGTATTTTAAAAATGATATAGTTTAAATGAAATATACATAATATACAGTTAATAACTACAACATATATACCTATTTATAGTAATAAATACTTTGGCAAATAAACTATGAACCATACATATGCAGCAAATGTTTTACAATGTACAAATAATGTATAGGTACATAAGATAATGGGTAAAATGTAAATATATTTTAAATTTTGGGGTTTGAAAATCGATCTAATTTAACAAAAACATTGAATATCTACTAATAGTGATGTATTATTATTTGCATTCACAAAATTTATATGTATATTTTGCAAGTATCAATGTTCGAAAAATTATATTTACAAATAATACAATATTATCTAAAAAGGCGTCAGCGATGGCTATGAAATGAAGATCGCTGGCATTTTATATGTTAAATTATTCTAAAATTTTTTGATTTTCTTGGGATTTTTAGGTTCGGGAAAAACGCTGATTAAGTTTTCATTTGGGTTTTCATTATTTTTTATTTGGTTTAAAAAAACGCTTCGGCTAACTAGCCTTCACAGTGTTGTGTCATATGAGAAAAATAGTGTCGAATATAATCCAAAAATTACATATACAATATAATTCACACCTCATAATGTTTACTGCAATTAATAAACTAATATAAACTTATCAAAAGATGACCACATATTTTTTAAAATTATTATTCTTAACACTAAAATTATCTACATTGACTATGGAGTACGCAGTAAACATTATGTGCGTGGTGTGCATATTTTATATGCAATTTTTGGATTATATTCGACACTATTTTTTCATATGACACAACACTGATGGAGGCTATAATGTTAGCCGAACCGTTTTTTTTTTAAACCAAATAAAAATAATGAAAACCAAATGAAAAATCAATCAGCGTTTTTCCCGAACCTAAATTCCAAAAAAATCAAAAATTTAGAATATTTAGAATCAAGGTTCAAGAATATCAAATTTTCCAAGATTGTAAAATTCTAGTTAATTATTTTATGTGTACAGTTATTTAGGGAATGTCATCGATGTTCATTTCAAGCCAACTAGACGCCGATTTTTTTCGATGATACGGTATAATTCTTACGTAAAATGTAAATAACATTAGACCAATTAAAACAAAGAAATATGAATTTCTTAGTATTTTTAGTAACACCTTTATTCTTAAAACTTAATTTTGTATTATGCAAATATACCAATTTTATTGTTATTTTATTCATATTGTATTCAGCCATCACTTAAATATTTGATATTAATTTGGTATTATAAATAATCAATACTATTCATTAAAAATTACTGAACAAATATATGTTATGCTTAACATACATTATATATTATCAAACAAAACACATTCTTCTTTTAAACTGTATCAGTCTTGTCTTTACAAAAATCTTTTTTAAAATTTGAACTCAAAATAATAATCTTTTTCATGATCTCTAATACACATATTCTTTATTTTTCCCTAGATCATAATACCTACTTACGTGTTTGAATCTATCGAAGCTGAACCAGCAACACTTTGAGTGGAGATTCCACAATATGAATAAAATAAACATAATTGTCCAGTTTTCATTAATACCATCATGGGAGAATATTATTTTTAAATTTATTAAAGATATTTTCAATAAAATTCTCTTGATTTATAACTCGTACTCCACTTTTCTTGCTCTTCCGACACTTTAGGCTGCCTAGTATAATAACTATCCTTAGTAACCATCCTTTCCACCAGGAACACAACAAAGATGAGGCATAGCACCAATAACACACTCCACTTAAGCTTTATTGATGAATTGTTAGAGTCTTAAAAACACACACAAAAATCACGATAAGTAAAAAATGTATGGGCACTTTTAGGTTAAATCACTTGCACAACGTGTAATTTTTAAAATTTCTATTTTTTGTAGTGAAACCGAGAGTGACCATATATCTGGTAGTAGTTTATGTCACTTCAACACCAAAATAATTAGTTTTTTGCACTACAATAATAAATAATACCAAAAATCAAAGAGTTAAAACCAAAAATCAACCGACAAAATATGAAACGGAATCTAACCCAATATCTAAGTATGTACAGCTGATGAAGTAAACAAAAGTCCGCCCGCAGGCTGATCTTTTAATAGAAGGCATTGATCCATCAATAGCGAATTTATCTTATTTCCATTAGTTTAGTTGATTTTCATTTCATTTCAGCAATTTCTGTAGTGATTTCGACTTACGATTTCCACTTAAAAATCCAATTTTTAATACACTGCTAGGTATCAGGCAATACATTTTAATAATTTTATTTAAAACGATTTATCACCTAAAGATACACAAGACTTATTTATTCCAAATTAAAATAACAGCAATCTTAAAATTAAAATTACTCTAAAACATATTGTGCGAGGTTCTAAATTCGCTGATCACAAATAAAGATCATTTTTGATCGACACCTAAATTGTGAATTTTATTAGTGATTGCTACAAATATAACTAAAATGCAATATATGCTTTGCGATGTAGAATACACATACACAATAGATTTATAATTTATAAAATATATAATTAGATAATTAACGTCCTTAAAACAAATTATTGGCGTTTGTTTACACCTGCATTATAAAGAAAAAAGATCGCGTATTTCTACAATCCCTTTATTTTATCATCTATCGGAGGGTTTTCTATTTTATCAGTTTCTTTAGTAGGATCTGGCTTACTTTTATTCTTCATCCAAGCACAATCACAAGAAAATTTACATTCTTCTTTCTTTTCGCCCTCTTTAACTGCTTTATTTTCCCATGGATTCCAGAACTTTAGTAAAAGAGGCTGAATAAATCTATGAAACAGGAACAATAATAAAGGAATTATAAAGCAAGGAACGCAACCTGCCATTTTAGATCTGAAAATAAAAATAAATCCGTTAACTCATTTTTCCAAAAAAATACTATTTTACCTTTTTGTGGAAAACTTCTATAATAAACAAAATAAACAAACTGGAAACTGTCAATCGTGTTGTCAATACATACAGCTTAGCCAACGTGACGGGTCGAAAAATACCTAGACTAATGCTGAAAAAATCACTAGAATTCCCTAGATTCAAAATTAGCGAATACGTGCTTTTTTATATTGCAAAAAAAATTAAAAACGTATTTTTATTATCATAAATAATACAAATTCATGATTTGGTCATTATAGGTACAAATATTACAGAATTTTATATATTGACAAAAAAAAAATAAAAGGAAATTGATGAAATAAAATCTAAATAGGGTATTAATAATAGACTTTGAATCATTTCTTTCTAAGAAGTATGTTATTTATTATTATTAAGATATATGGTTGATAATAAATAAAAATAAAGCTGCATTAATGGCAGTTATTCATTGTATCTCATATTTCCTATTCTGTTTAGAACAGTGGCATTTACATTGAGGAATGATCCAGCTCCTGCTATAACCGTTCTAGCCATACTTTTATTATCAGATTTTGACGAAAATGTATCGGATAACGAGGGTTTTACATGTTTTTGTGTTATAAATATGTTACAAGCAAACCTAATTTCACATTCTAAAGCTTCCATGTAACCCATCTAAAAAATAATTTGAAATTAAGAGAGAAAAATATACGTTTTACAAAAAGAAACTGCGTACATGTTCTTCAACAGATATGTTGTATATATTCCAAAAAAATTCTACTATTGCCAAAAGAAAGGCTAGACAAATGCCACATCCTAGAACCACAAATACACCCCCAACGTGAGCTAATGTCAGTTCATCTTGAATAACTGGTTCATCATAGACCTGGAACATTATGTATATAATCTATAATTTTTCAATATTTGTATTTTTTATCGGCATTACATTTGAACAGGGTGTTCCCTCTATGTCCTTCTTCCACCATTTTTCTTTTAATTCATTCAATTTGCCGTTTTCTTGCAATTTTAAAACAGCAGAATTAATTGCGTGCCTGTAGTCAGCACCTGAAATAATAAAATAAATATTTGATAAGGTTTAATTTCAGCAATTTTTATTTCTTTTATACAGGGTGCTACAAATTCGAGGTACGAGTATTTTGGTATCTTGATAACCGTAATAGATACGAACATGGTTAAATTGGGGCAAAGTTGCGCTTTGGGATGTTCACCAAGATGTCATCAAAAAAGTTTTAAAAATTTCAAGGATTACGGAGTTTTTTGGGAAAAATGAATTTTTTTGAAAATTAATTTTATTTTTTCCTGTCGTTACTTTTTAGAAAATAAAAAAACTAATGGCACATTCTCATAGCCACTTTAGTAGGGCTATCTGGTCAGCAATTTAAAGATATTATTTTTAAATTTTTTATTGTGAATTTGAAATGTCAGTGTGCGATCTAATAATATATGCATAATAATGGTAGTTATTATAAATAAATGAACTTCTACAAACTATAGTTTTCAACTTAGTTTTCAATGCTCTACATGTTCGAAAGAGTTACCACCATAGATTTAAAATAAAATTTTAAGTCTATGGTTACCATGCACCCACCCTATTGCACAAATTTATTTTTCCTTCAGTTTTATTTATAGCTCTTTGGTGATTTCTTTTTATACTTTGGAATGCATTATGTACTCTTTATTGCAAATGTTGAGATGTATTGATTTCACTTTTATAAATGACATCCGAATTATGACTCCGAATTTGTAGCGCCCTGTATATAACAGTTATATCATAAAGTCTTAGAATTTATGAAAATAAAATCTTATATATCTTTTAAAAGAGGATATATTACCAAAAGGCATTCCTATTCCATAACTTTTTGAATCCAGCCAAGAGCCAACCTTTCTAAGTTCGCATTTCCTTTCAAGCTCATATTCGATTTGTGTGGATTCCATAAAAAAGGCGTAGAGCGCATTTTTAGTAGACAACACGCGTTCCACTCCCTTATCGTTACTATCTTCGAAAACACTGGGATTCTCATTTTTCATCACAGCCCACATTTTCTGATATAAGGAATCATTAGAGTATTTGAAGAATTCTTCTGTTGAGCCTCCTTTCATTATACCTGTAGGGAATCGGAATTTTATTTTGGTCTATTAACTCCTACCAAATTATTTTATGTATTTTTAAATATTATACAGGGTGGTCCAAACTGTAATCCGGAAACTTCGGCAGCATATTCTGCAGATAAAAAGAATTTAAGAAGTTCGTATAAATGTATGTCCAGGGTGTAGAAGTTTCAATTTTACGTAACGTCAATATTTGGATGAAAATTGGCGTCTGATGTTGTCTCTGGCGTCTGATAGTTTTTTGACAAGAGAAATTTGATTTTGATATCAATATGACTCTTATTTGTAGGGGGCGATACCCACATGCGTTTTAAAGGTTTTACTTTGAATAAGAAGACTAAGGAAGGAGCATATCAAAAATCTTAGGTACACCGCGATGGGCCTCAAATATAGCCGACTTAAATTCCGGTTTATCAGTGTCGTTCTAATTTTATTTAAAAAATGTAAAACTATGATGTAGGGTAGACGTGGGGTAGACTCAATAATTTGTTGTTTTATTTTACGTTGTGAATAAATGTTGGTAGTTATTAAAATTGTTATAAAAATATATAATTCTAATAAAAATAGATAAGTTATAATAAGTATTCATTAACACAAACATCCGATACGCTACTGAAGCAGGTAAGTCAAATTAACGTATCTAAACTCTTTGACATCTAATCTTTGACAAGTAATAAATAAAAGCTAAAAATGCAAGAAAAATATATAATTTAGTTAATTTAAGTGAATTTCATAAATGATCGGTTTACTACACGTATGTATATTATATAGTCACTTACTAGCGAAAAGTTGTTCCATTATTTCACTCAATTTTTGCCGAGATCTACCGCACGCTACACAACCAACTTTTTTCGATAAATCGCGATAGTGTCACTGTTAATTTAAGTTCTGCCACAATTTCCATCTAGATTTACTACCTTTATACAACTATCAGTAGTAGTAAATAATAAATAACATAAATAAGCTCCGTAAAGACTGACAGTTCCACAAAATTTCAAATCAAATTCAAATGTGTCAAATGAATCGTCAAACAGAACTGTCAAGGATCCCCACCCTAGAGAGCTTTTATGGTGGCTTTTCCGTCCACCATGCATGAATACATGGATAGCATTATGCTCCTTCCTTAGTCTTCTTATTCAAAGAGGTTTTAACGGTTTTGAAACTAAGGAAGAAGCATAATGCTATCCAATGTATTCATGCATGGTGGGTGGAAAAAGCACTCTAGGGTGGGGATCCTTGACAGTTCTGTTTGACGAGTCATTTGACACATTTGAATTTGATTTGAAATTTTGTGGATTTGTCAGTCTTTACGGAGCTTATTTTATGTTATTTATTATTTATTCTACAACTGATAGTTGTATAAAGATAGTAAATTTAGATGGAAATTGTGGCAGAACTTAAATTAACAGAGACACTATCGCGATTTATCGAATAAGATTCTAAAATAGTTGGTTGTGTAGCGTGCGGTAGATCTCGGCAAAAATTGAGTGAAATAATGGAACAACTTTTCGCTAGTAAGTGACTATATAATATACATACGTGTAGTAAACCGATCATTTATGAAATTCACTTAAATTAACTAAATTATATATTTTTCTTGCATTTTACCTTTTATTTATTACTTGTCAAAGATTAGATGTCAAAGAATTTAGATACGTTAATTTGACTTACCTGCTTCAGTAGCGTATCGGATGTTTGTGTTAATAAATACTTATTATAACTTATCTATTTTTATTAGAATTATATATTTTTATAACAATTTTAATAACTACCAACATTTATTCACAACGTAAAATAAAACAACAAATTATTGAGTCTACCCTACATCATAGTTTTACATTTTTTAAATAAAATTAGAACGACACTGATAAACCGGAATTTAAGTCGGCCATATTTGAGGTCCATCGCGGTGTACCTAAGATTTTTGATATGCACCTTCCTAGTCTTCTTATTCAAAGTTTTGAAGAGTAATAACTTTTCGTCCGAACCTGTATAAATCTACTGAGGAAAAAAATATACATTTCTGTGACTTTTTGCGTAAAAATTATCTCTTGGTAAAAATCACTACGAGCAACCATTATTCTCAAGATATTTAGAATGGAAGTAGTCAATGCATGTCATTGTTGACAAAAATTAAACAAGTTGAGTAGATACACAGACTAACCTTATGTCAATGATGATAGGTATTGATGATTTTGATTCAAAATATCCCGAGAACCAAAGAGACCTTTTTTACGTAAAAAACTTCGTGGATGTATATTTTTTTAGTCAGTAGTTTTATACAGGTACGGACGAAAAGTTCTTACTCTTGGAACCATTTAAAAAATATGTAGGTGGCGCCCTCTACAAGTAGGAGTAATATTGACATCAAAACCAAATTTCTTATATCAAAAAACTCCAGGTACCAATTTTCATCCAAATATTACTTCATAAATTATTTCGAAAAAATTGTAATAAAAATGAAACTTCTACACCCTGTATTTTCGAAACTAAGCATTTTAGGACATACATTTATACAAACTTTTTTACTTATTTTTATCTGCAGAATATGCTGCCGAAGTTCCCGGAATACAATTCGGACCACCCTGTATAGTTTGGTACGACTGATATTGAATATGGAGAACTACCCTCTGTAAAACCGTCTCAGATACTGGCTTTTGTCAAAGCTCTGAGAGTATATGATGATTCTTTTTGTCAACATTCTACCAAATTTTTTACTTACCATATTTAACTTTATTTTGATTGGCTAAATCTTCAACGTTATTAATGGTATTGGCGCTTTTTTGTACTGTGAGAAAAGCAGCCATGTTAGCGGTGTAACTGCTGGTCATTATCAAGGAAAAGAACCACCACATGGCTGTTAGAATTCTTGAAGAAATACCTCTGAAAGTATATTAGAAATTAAAATTTTTTTTATGCATTTGTGTATCGCATACTACACACTTGGGTAAAATATCACATCCTTGGGTCATAATGGAACCCAAAGTCAACCAGAGACAATTTTTAATATTCCAGATATTTTCCAGTTCTTCTGGCTGCTGATTGCATGGATGGGGATTCTCCCAATCGTCTGGATCTAGTCTTGTTAAATATTAATTAAGTTACTTTAAAGAAAGTCATAATATATTATATTGTCTCTAATCAGGGGTGGATGGGCCATATGGGAAAACGGGAAAATTCCCGGTTGGCCGGTGGAAAGATGGGCCGGTGGGCCGGTCCCGATCAGAACTCAAAAAAAGATTGATTTAGCAAAAATTAAATGGTTAATCTTCTAACTAAAATTACGTAAGATTCTAGTGACTGCCTAACTAACTAATCAGTTTGCATCAATATAATGGTTAGTTGCTTTTAAACATAAACATCAATTTTTAAAATAACTAGGTATTTTAGATGTTTTCCTCTGAGACACTTATAATTTTAATAAATATCTAATAATTTTGTTTGTTGTTCCATTTGAAATGTTTTTTTTTGTTTGCTTTGTGCAAGCAAATATTTTCAGGGCTGGTAGATATGAATAAAAAAAAACATACTATATTCTCTTTGCCGTGTTTCAAATAAGTCCAAAATAACCGAGTTATTAAAATTTGAATTTAAAAAAAACTGATTTTTTAAAAAAAAAATTGCCGCCTAAATCTTTCTGTATTTGCATCACTTTTTGTGCCGTAATATCAAAGATTAAGAAACTATACCGTGGAAAAAATTGCAGTGAACAGGAAGTTCTAAAAAATTTTCTAAAATATACAGGAAAATTTAAAAGAAAAAGCACGATTTTCAACATTTTTACAAAAAAAACTCATAGACGTGTCCTGGCACCTGGTGGTGATATAATATACCACCCCTGAAAATATTTGCGCTTATTTAAGACTCATTCTGTATAGTTTGACTAATATTCTTTTATTAAAACACATTTATGTCCACTGCTTAGGTATTGCCTAGGTTTTTTTCGTTTGAGTCATGGCATTATCATACAAGATGCCAAATGTAGAAACTAGGAAAAGTTACGTGATGAGAATTATACCAAAATTAAGACACGTATACATGACGAGGCTGCTGCTGTACCAGAAAAAAGAGGCTTTCTTTCTACAATCTGTAAGAAAATATATATCAGAAAATCTAAAAATAATGTATTTCATAGAGGATTGTTCCAGCTGAAGAACTTAAAGTTTCTCAAAACCGTGATTCAAAATCGTAGCATATTCAAGATCAAATGTTATCGATAATGGAAATAAAACAGTAGAACCCTGTGAAACTGAGCTATTTTCTAGTAAGAATTCAGATGTCCCACCCGATATTGATCTTTATAAAAATTTGGATCAAGACAATTTCAATATTTTTAAAAAATCGGAGGCAAAAGAGTTTTTTTCGCCCGAGCGAAAATCACCCTTACTTGGGGTGATTTGACCCTTATCTAGGGTGTCCCAGAAATAAGCGCAAGTATTTTAAGGGGGGTAGATTTGGTCAAAATAAACATTTTTTCTCTTTACCGTTTTTCAAGTAAGCCCAAAATAACCTTTTTAACCAAAATTTTACTTTGAAAATTTAAACAAAAAATGCTTTTTTGCTTAAATTTTGAGAGCCACTGGATCTTTTCTGTATTTTCTTTCATGTAAATTTAATCTACTACCTATTGTCAGTTGTTAGATTATCAAGAAATTATGTTTTCTAAACTTAAAACAAAAAATTCCAAAAATTTCTTCAAAAAATTCCAAATTTTCGCAAAAAAAACTGATAGGCGTGTTTCTGAGGCCGAAATATACTACCAGTTAAAATACTTGCACTTATTTCTGGGACACCCTGTATATTAATAAATAAAATATGTTTCTTCGTTATGGTCATTTTGTTTTTGTGGATTCGGGCCGGTTGCCTGTTATTCCCGGGCCGGTTTCCAATTCTCCATCCACCCCTGTCTCTAATTATAAATCATTTTTGAACAATTTTTTAATAACTATTAACTGGAAGACAAGACCAAGACCAAAAAAACTCTTGGTCTTCGTCTTGCAATTGCTCATCACTATTAACCATGAAAAAAAATTATTTGGTTTAAATTTATACAGATCTAAATAGTGTGATACCTTGCAGTTACTACTATGATCAAAGACAGAATTAGAAAAAGTGTGACAATGTATATCCAGACTTTTAAAGAAAATGGATCCATAAAAGCGTACATGTTATTAAGTTGTTCCACGTCAGACTCTTTATGCAAAATGCTGATTCCTGAAAAAAAAATATATTTAAAAGATTATTCAAAAATTATTTAAAAAAAGAAATACCTAGAGACATGAAAGGCATACTAAAGTCTATAAGCTCGCGCCTTTGGTGCGTGATTGTAAAGTCACAAATACCTAAGTCAGCTCTCTAAAAATATGTTTTTACTATTAGCTATATACAGGGTGTTCCATAGTAAGATATGAAGTTTAAGATACTATTAATTTTTTATATTTACTTTAAAATATTTACAATATTACGGTCATACACAAATTTTATTTCAATCTTTCAGACTCCTGCCAAATAAACATCTTATAACATGAGCTCGTTTCCAATGGAACACTTTGTATAATATTAAATTAACAGTTCGAGTTGAAAGACTTACATACCCTGTTTATCAAATCATCTACTATATTTGAGTGCAAGTTATCACGTGTTAGGACGAACTCAAATGTAATGTTCATCAATTTTGCTATTTCAGTTATCAAGTCCATAGAATATCCCTTGTACCGACTATTTCCTGTTGCATCCGGTTGGTCACTGTACATTAGGTATGGCTTACCAATTCTAAATAAATAAATAAACATATATCTGTATTTGTTCTTGTCTGTATTCTTAAAAATAATTAGAAAATTGTTTATTGACAAAAAGTTTGTTGTATTTTTTGGCAATAGTAAAGCGGTTCATACACGATACAACAAGTTACAAGTACAATTAATTGGACTGGAAATAAATTAATTAACATAATTTTATCCACAGATTTAAATCAGAAGTATATTACAAAGAGGTAGTGGTTCTCAAGGTATTGTTACGTTTTTCGTCGGTTCCGTGTGGATAGAAAGTCACAATTTATTTAAACACTATTTATTTAACACTAATTAACAAAAACAATAACGATAAAAGACTTATAGAACTATTTACAAACGATTTATAACTAAGAATTTATTTTGAATTTTAGCGCGTCAACTGTATATTTATAATTGCCCTCTCTAGGCCACTGCCGCCGGCTTTTATACCGACAGGTAAAAGAAATCTAGAATAGTCCAAAGATCGTTAGGCGCATAGAGAAGGTTTTCGAATGTTCTCGTATGTACTAGTCCATTCTAGTGGGTCTCGATTCTTCTCGAACGAATGAATCATTGCGGTGTCTATGCGATGTTAAGGTCATCCGAGGGCGGGCCATATTGTGAGGTTAGGTCGAGTCCACACCGGTTCGCAACAGTATTCTGATCTTTTTAGATGCATTTTTTAGACGTAATCAAAATTACTGGTAAACTAACTGTTATTTAGCGCTACTGTCGGATATTTTATGCTGTCGCAGATAGGGCTTGTTTGTCTCTACAATTTCCTGTCTCACAATGTACCGTTTGTGTCGGGGAAGGGATCATAGTTTCATAGTTGTCGATTTTCGACAGAAATCAGTGCATGTATATTATTTCGTATATTTTTCATTTTATTGATTTTATGGAAAGCACTGTTCATTAAAATGTTCTATCCTATGTTATAGGGCTTGTTTCGCTCTACAATTTCCTGTCTCACAATGTACCGTTTGTGTCGGGGACGGGATCATAGTTTCATAGTTGTCGATTTTCGAAAGAAATCAGTACATGTAAAAAATATTATTTCGTATATTTTTCATTTTATTGATTTTATGGAAAGCACTGTTCATTAAAATGTTGTATCCTATGTTATAAGGCTTGTTTCTCTCTACATTTTCCTGTCTCACAATGTACCGTTTGTGTTCGGGAAGGGTTCATAGTTTCATAGTTGTCGATTTTCGAAAGAAATCAGTACATGCATATTATTTCCTATATTTTTCATTTTATTGATTTTATGAAAAGCACTGTTCATTAAAATGTTGTATCCTATGTTATAGGGCTTGCTTGTCTCTAGAATTTCCTGTCTCACAATGTACCGTTTGTGTCTGGGAAGGGTTCATAGTTTCATAGTTGTCGATTTTCGAAAGAAATCAGTACATGTATATTATTTCGTATATTTTTCATTTTATTGATTTTATGGAAAGCACTGTTCATTAAAATGTTGTATCCTATGTTATAGGGCTTGCTTGTCTCTAGAATTTCCTGTCTCACAATGTACCGTTTGTGTCTGGGAAGGGTTCATAGTTTCATAGTTGTCGATTTTCGAAAGAAATCAGTACATGTATATTATTTCGTATATTTTTCATTTTATTGATTTTATGGAAAGCACTGTTCATTAAAATGTTCTATCCTATGTTATAGGGCTTGTTTCGTTCTACAATTTCCTGTCTCACAATGTACCGTTTGTGTCGGGGACGGGATCATAGTTTCATAGTTGTCGATTTTCGAAAGAAATCAGTACATGTAAAAAATATTATTTCGTATATTTTTCATTTTATTGATTTTATGGAAAGCACTGTTCATTAAAATGTTGTATCCTATGTTATAGGGCTTGTTTCTCTCTACATTTTCCTGTCTCACAATGTACCGTTTGTGTTCGGGAAGGGTTCATAGTTTCATAGTTGTCGATTTTCGAAAGAAATCAGTACATGCATATTATTTCCTATATTTTTCATTTTATTGATTTTATGAAAAGCACTGTTCATTAAAATGTTGTATCCTATGTTATAGGGCTTGCTTGTCTCTAGAATTTCCTGTCTCGCAATGTACCGTTTGTGTCTGGGAAGGGTTCATAGTTTCATAGTTGTCGATTTTCGAAAGAAATCAGTACATGTATATTATTTCGTATATTTTTCATTTTATTGATTTTATGGAAAGCACTGTTCATTAAAATGTTGAATCCTATGTTATAGGGCTTGTTTCTCTCTACATTTTCCTGTCTCACAATGTACCGTTTGTGTTCGGGAAGGGTTCATAGTTTCATAGTTGTCGATTTTCGAAAGAAATCAGTACATGCATATTATTTCCTATATTTTTCATTTTATTGATTTTATGAAAAGCACTGTTCATTAAAATGTTGTATCCTATGTTATAGGGCTTGCTTGTCTCTAGAATTTCCTGTCTCACAATGTACCGTTTGTGTCTGGGAAGGGTTCATAGTTTCATAGTTGTCGATTTTCGAAAGAAATCAGTACATGCATATTATTTCCTATATTTTTCATTTTATTGATTTTATGAAAAGCACTGTTCATTAAAATGTTGTATCTTATGTTATAGGGCTTGCTTGTCTCTAGAATTTCCTGTCTCACAATGTACCGTTTGTGTCTGGGAAGGGTTCATAGTTTCATAGTTGTCGATTTTCGAAAGAAATCAGTACATGTATATTATTTCGTATATTTTTCATTTTATTGATTTTATGGAAAGCACTGTTCATTAACATGTTGTATCCTATGTTATAGGGCCAGTGGCGCATCTAGAGATTGAGTCTGAGAGGGGTAGTGTGAATATTCAAAAAAGAACTAAATTTGAATTAAATTTTTGCTGGAAGGTATTGTAACTGTGGAAAAAAATCTACTTGGATTGGTTTGGATATTCTGTTTTAATTTGTATTATTAACTTTTTTGTAACAATTTTATTTTATACCAAATTTTATCTTATTAATTAATTTCTTTCTAGGAGGGGTAATTACCCCCATTATTATTAGTAAGAATATTGTTACGGATTCCGTGGGTCCACTATTTAAACTCACGATAAAATACTTAACGAATTTATTTTCTCACTTTATACACAATTACTAACTTATAACACACAACAAACTAACTATTTATAAGATTCCTTCACCAAATTGTCCGATTTTCAATTTCCACGCGGTATATTCAAATTTCAAAAACTGTCTCAGTTGTCGATGGCTCCGGCTTATATACTCTATTGACTGCTTCTCGAAATTTCCCCAATTCTCGGAAAGCGTATTTCTTCATACCAGACAATTCTATTGTCTGATTCCCCTTACTTCTCGACTTGACTAAAAGATGGCGCCTGAAAAAGTCTTTTAATTTCTGGCGGATACGTTGCGGTTGTGCAGGCAACCAGTAATACATTTTAATTTCTGGCGGATGCGCCATTTTTCTTGACATTGCCCCCTTCTCAAATTTGATCGTCCCGATCAAGGTTTCCTGTCTGGTATCTCTTCAATCGATCCAGATGAACTACTTTCATCTTACTTCTAGGGCTGCGTTGAATCCGGTACACAACATCATTTATCCTCTTGATGACTGTATAAGGACCTTCCCATGCTGGAGTTAACTTTGGGGACCTTCCTTTCTTGCGCTGTGGGTTATACAACCATACCCTATCGTCCTGTTGAAATCCCGTAGAATTAGCTCTGAGGTCGTAACGAGCTTTCATCCGGTCACTGGCTAGCGTAATCTTACTTCTCACGGCCTTATGAATTCCCAATAATCTTTCCTTCCTAACGATTCTTTCGAACGACAGTCCAACGTTATCTTGTTCCATTTTTCCTCCAGATCGAGTACTTGGTCCTTGTCTAGCTGCGCAAATCTTACAACGTTGACACCATTTCTTAACATTTTCACAATAATCCACCCAGTATAATAACGATCTCTCAGCTTGCCCAGGGTCTTGTTTACTCCAAGATGGGCTCCAGTTCTACCACCATGAATTTCTTCCAATACCTGGATAACTTTCTTCCTTGGTACCAGTAACTGAGTTGTTACTGTCCTGCCATCCGCACTTTCCCACGTGCGCTTTAACAATCCATTCTCAATCACCAGTGAATTCCACTGAGCCCAGAGAGCTTTTGAAAAACGAGCCCTCTGTCCGCAATATCCTGCCACGGTGGTCTCTCGCCGTTACCTTCCTTGAGCCGTAGTATTGCTCCGATGTCTGGATCTTCCATTTGATCTTTCCTCAATTGTATCGTCGTCCATGGTTCGTCAGTTCTAAGCTTAAAATTCCTTATTCTGATAGTGCTTTCGCGATGTTTCATTTTCTTGTCCAAGGTAGCTCGTCGTCGATCTAGGTCGTTGTCGATAATTTGTACCCGTCCTACACGGCACCCAGAGGTTTCCTCTATTTTCTCGAACACAGTCTTCTTGGTATCACCAGGTATCATCACAATTTTCGATGATCTTTCTTCCATATTTCCTGGTCTCTTCTCTTTAGATACAGAAAATTCCTCATTTCCGATTTTCAGGATGTTTCTATGGTGATCAAACGAAAACCATGTTGACTGATCACATCCATACCCATGATAAAATCATCTTCAATGTCTGCCACTAAAACGCTATGCCGAAACTTCAAATTCCCTAACTCCAGTTCTATGAAAGCCTCTCCCCGTACAACGGCCATTTCCCCGTAACTGTACGTAAATACACTCTTCTTCTAAGAGGCATCATCTTCAATCCTTGCACCGAGTTAGTCCGCACCAACGATACCATAGCGCCTGTGTCCACAGTCATTCGAATTCTTCTACCATTGACCTTCCTGTTGATCACCAAACTGTCAGCGGTTTTTCCTAGACTCCTAACGGAAAACATCCTAGGGGCTCTGTTTTCTTCAGCCAATACTCGCTCATTAGTGTTGATTTCCTGGTGCCTATGTTCTCTCGATGGTAAACGGAATCGCATTTGGACGCGGCAATCCCGTTTGATGTGGCCATTCCTGCCACATCTATAGCAACTTATGTCCTGGGATCTTCCGATGTGCCGATGTTCTCTGGATGGTGAATGGAATCGCATTTGGATGCGACAATCCCGTTTGATGTGGCCATTCCTGCCACATCTATAGCAACTTATGTCCTGGGATCTTCCGATGTGCCGATGTTCTCTGGATGGTGAATGGAATCGCATTTGGATGCGACAATCTCGTTTGATGTGGCCATTCCTGCCGCATCCATAGCACCTCATATCCTGGAATCTTCTTTGGTTCTCTGTCTGGGTGTTGTTGACTCTCTTGTTCACTAGTAATTCACATAGTTTATTAAACATCTCCTCCAAACGTATGTGAGAACTCTTTGGCTGTTCCTCAACCGTTACCGAGCCTATCTTCTGTTTAGGAATGGCGCTAAATGCAGCTTCTATTTCCAGCGCCCTGACGAGTACTTCGCTGCTGGTAGAAAATTGGGATATTTGCAGCGCCCTCTGCAATTCGTTGTCCCTCAATCCGCTGATAAAGCACTGAGCAGCGAGTTCCTCCCTAAATCCTTCCGGTGCTTCTGGATACGCTAGGTGTACCAGGCGACGTAAGTCTGCTTCGAATTCCTGCAGACTCTCTCCGGACCTCTGCAGGCGTGTCTTGATCTGTGCCTGGTAAAGTTGGCGTCGATGTTGGTCGCCATATCTTCTGTCCAGTGCAGCGACCAAAGTTTGGTATTCCTGCTGTTGGGCTGCAGGAATAGTTTGCAACAGTTCCAGGGCAGGGCCACGCAGCGCGATGACAAGTGCCGCTGCTTTCTCCTGGTCAGTCCATCCATTGGCAGCAGCCGCTGCTTCAAACTGGCGGTGGTACATCGTCCAGGTGGTTTGTCCATCGTAGGTCGGGGCCTTGAGGTTCGCAGTTCCATGAACGCCAGGTGTCTTTACTTGTGCCTTGGTCTTCTGTAGGTCCTTCTCTAATTTTTCCATTTCCTGTTGAAGTCGCTCCTCCAGATCTTCTACGGCTTCTTGAAGGTGTATTTCTTGTCTTTTTTCCAGATCTTCGAAGTTCTTTTTAAGACGATTTTGATCTTCTTGTCTTTCTCTATGACGTCGCTCCTCCAAACGAATTTCTAAATTACCTAATATTTTCTCAAGTCGGTCCTGTTCTTCTTGTTTATCTTGTTGTCGTTGAATTTTTAAATCTTCAAAAATTCTCTCAAGCCGGTCCTGTTTAATTTCTTGATTTTCTAGAATTTTCAGTAAGCGGTCTTGTTCTTCTGCTTTCTCTTTTTCTAGTCGGGCTCGCTCTTCTTCTCGTTCTTTACGGAGTCTTTCTTGCTCTTCTGCTTTTTCTTTTCTCAGCCTCTCTTGTTCTTCTGCCTTTTCTCTTCTCATATTCTCCATAAAATCGCCCAATAATTTGCTTACTTCCTCCATTTTCTTCGCTTGCTGTCTCGTACCAACCATAAAAATACTCTAATTCGGTCTAAAAATCGTCCAATCCACTTAATTTCTTCTTAAAATCCTCTTGAATCGCACTTCCGACACCAATTGTTACGGATTCCGTGGGTCCACTATTTAAACTCACGATAAAATACTTAACGAATTTATTTTCTCACTTTATACACAATTACTAACTTATAACACACAACAAACTAACTATTTATAAGATTCCTTCACCAAATTGTCCGATTTTCAATTTCCACGCGGTATATTCAAATTTCAAAAACTGTCTCAGTTGTCGATGGCTCCGGCTTATATACTCTATTGACTGCTTCTCGAAATTTCCCCAATTCTCGGAAAGCGTACTTTTTCATACCAGACAATTCTATTGTCTGATTCCCTTACTTCTCGACTTGACTAAAAGATGGCGCCTGAAAAAGTCTTTTAATTTCTGGCGGATACGTTGCGGTTGTGCAGGCAACCAGTAATACATTTTTAATTTCTGGCGGATGCGCCATTTTTCTTGACAATATAGTAGATGGAAGTAATCAAATTCTTAATCATTTATTAGGAATTGATCAACCAAATTCATTATGTTGTCTATGAGCAGACTTACTTTGAGCTAACTATGAAATTGTGATTCATTAAACGCCTCTGGAGTTCTGCCTCTCTCTGAGTGGCATTTCTGGTGAGGTGGATGGATTCCGGTTGTTCAGAGTTCCAAACAGCTATAGGTTGCTCGGGCCTGTCCAGTTCGATAACTTCCAAAACAAATTTTTCTCTTTTTCCATACTGAAAGTTAATATCTCCTGTGATGCCGTGTGGTACCGTCGTCTTTCTTAATCTGTCAATTAATATTAAGTCGTCCTCGTACGGTTCTGTAGTGTTACACAATTTAGGTTCATTTAGTAAATCTATAGGAATACCATCTGCTGATAAAGATTTCATGGCTTCAGCCAGGAGTAACATAGCGTCGTGTTGTAATGCTGTTTGCACCTGTAAAAGAATATTGTGTTACTAATATAGGTATATTTAAAAATAACCGGCAAACCTACATTATTATTTGAATCTCGACCTATGAATATATTTTGTTTCAGAACAATTTTTTCGATATATGTACTACAAAAAATATACAGGTGATTCAAAAAACTTCTGCCATCTCTCATAGAGAGATTCCTCACGTAAAACTAAGATTTATTTTTCATATCAACATAGATGCGATTCTGCCTTATTTTGTAGTTACAAAGAGATAAAGTGTTTTTTTTCCGATTTTTTATAATTTTCTTCCAAGTGCTTTTAGCAATTTGATTGAAATTTTGAGGGTAAAAGATACTATAAGCACAGATTATACAGACTACAAACTTATCGTCAAAAGCATTATTTTTTGTGGTTTCAATTTTCGGAGTTGCGCACTAGTTAGGTTACTAGTTTGCGCACAAGCACGCCCACTTATGACCTCTAAAATTGTGCACAGCGCCTGACCGACCTTGTGACCGGCCCAGTTATGACGCGGGAGTTTATTTTGGCGCACAAGAAAATTTACTCGTTTGCTCAAAAAACAATTTGCGTACCACGAATTAGGAACAAGATTTTTATCTGTATACTTATAGGATACCTTCTGTCTTTGAATAAGAAGACTAAGGAAGGAGCATAATGCTATCCATGTATTCATGCATGGTGGGCGGAAAAGCCACCATAAAAGCTCTCTAGGGTGGGGATCCTTGACAGTTCTGTTTGACGATTCATTTGACACATTTGAATTTGATTTGAAATTTTGTGGATTTGTCAGTGTTTACGGAGCTTATTTTATATTATTTATTATTTATTCTACTACTGATAGTTGTATAAAGGTAGTAAATCTAGATGGAAATTGTGGCAGAACTTAAATTAACAGTGACACTATCGCGATTTATCGAAAAAGACTCTAAAATAGTTGGTTGTGTAGCGTGCGGAAGATCTCGGCAAAAATTGAGTGAAATAATGGAACAACTTTTCGCTAGTAAGTGACTATATAATATACATACGTGTAGTAAACCGATCATTTATGAAATTCACTTAAATTAACTAAATTACGAGCTAAATTATATATTTTTCTTGCATTTTAGCTTTTATTTATTACTTGTCAAAGATTAGATGTCAAAGAATTTAGATACGTTAATTTGACTTACCTGCTTCAGTAACGTATCGGATGTTTGTGTTAATAAATACTTATTATAACTTCTATTTTTATTAGAATTATATATTTTTATAACAATTTTAATATAACTACCAACAAACATTTTAATTTTAACTACCAACATTTATTCACAACGTAAAATAAAACAACAAATTATTGAGTCTACCCCACGTCTACCCTACATCATAGTTTTACATTTTTTAAATAAAATTAGAACGACACTGATAAACCGGAATTTAAGTCGGCCATATTTGAGGCCCATCGCGGTGTACCTAAGATTTTTGCTCCTTCCTTAGTCTTCTTATTCAAAGCCTTCTGTGCTATAAGTGCGACATATTTTAATACTAAAATAGTGTTGACATATTCACCAGGGATATATAATCATGATATACAGGGTGGTCCATCGAAAACGTTCCGCAAGGCATAACGGCCAGGGTAATTTTTTTTCAGAAAATTCAAAAACACGTCAATTTTGTTTGTGAGGGGGACAACTTTTGCCCCAAAAATTATTGCAAAACTTTCAACCCTCTAAGTGGGGGTGTCATCCCCCGATTTTTTTCAAATGGAAAGGGGGGTCAAGTGGTACCGCAATGAAAAGGGCTTTCTATTCTCTATACTTTCCTGCTTCGTTTTTGAAGATCGGTCGAGTCGTTGGGAAAATATGAAGGATTGAAATTTGAAAAGTTTTTTAAACATTTATCAGAGTAAATGATAAGGATAAATTCCTTCGACCAATTTGCTGTTTTTTCTTATTATTTCTAGATGTTTGCAATCGGGTTGCGCAGATATTCAATGAACGCCATCCTGACAAACACCTTTATGGCAAAATTGTTCGCCAGTTAGTAGCAAAATTTTGCGAAACTGGTTCCGTTATGAATAAAAAGAGGCAGAGGGAAAATCCTGTAGTAAATGAAGCTATGGAGGTATTTGTATTGGGCTAAGTTGCCATGGACAGTATTCTGAGTACAAGAAAATTAGCCAATGAGACCGGCCGGAATCGTACAAATTTCCAAAGGATATTAAAAAAACAGCGAATGATAATAATTTCCTATTTAATTTGTGTTTTTCGGATGAGTGTACTTTCTTTTTGAACGGTGTAGTTAATCGGCACAACTGTCGGTACTGGGCTGAGGACAACCCCAGGGTTTTTCACGAGATGCACACACAAAACCCTCAGAAATTGAACGTGTAGGCTGGTATTTTTGGAAATTCTATTGTAGGTCATTTTAACGATATTGAGAAGAACTTCAACGTACAAGTCACAGAACAGCTATCTAGCAACTACCGCACCTGATCGTTCAACGTTGTGGCAAGTGAAAAAATGCGTAAACATCTAGAAATAATAAGAAAAAACAGCAAATTGATCGAATTTATCCTTAATTATCATTTACTCTGATAAATGCTTTTATAAATAAATAATAAACTTTTCAAATTTCAATCCTTCATATTTTCTCAATGAGTCAACCGATTTTCAAAAACAAAACGGGAAAATACAGAGAATAGAAAGCTCTTTTCATTGCGGCGTCACTTGACCCCCTTTCCATTTGAAAAAAGTAGGGGGATGACACCCCCGCTTAGAGGGTTGAATATTTTGCAATCATTTTTGGGGCAAAAGTTGTCCCCCTCACAAACAAAATTGACGTGTTTTTGGATTTTTTGAAAAAATAAATACCCTGGCCGCTATGTCTTGCGGAACGTTTTCGATGGGCCACCCTGTATATTATTTATTTGAATCTTTCAATTGGCTCGATTTTCCTTATTTAATGTTAATTAGCGCTGATCAATATTGTAGCGATGGATATAAGGAGATTAAATAATTTAAAAAACCAGAGACGAACTTAAAATTATTTTAAATAATTTTGTTATTGTTAAGGTATCCAAAACAAAAAAGTATCAAGTGTGGCATATCATTGTACTCAGGAGACTTTCAAAACCTGAAATAAAAGATACAGGTCCGTATTTAAAAAAATTAAGTTGTTCTCTGTATCTCACAAATTTTCAGCTAATTTGAAAATCTAAAAATAGTATCAGATAGCCCTAATAAAGTGGCTATGAGAATGTGCAATTAGTTTTTTGAATTTCTAAAAAATAACGATAGGAAAAAATAAAATTGATTTTCTAATCCGTTTTTTTCTAAAAAAACTCAGCAATCCTTGAAATTTTTAAGAATAGTAGTATAATAATAGAATAATATTTTATATTAGTATTCTTGTTAACTTACTAAAATCTTCTCAGGAGGTGTTGTAGGATAATATTCACTCACTACTTGTTGAAACCTTGAATTATACGGATCAAATAATCGAATTGATGTCATATTTGAGCATTTTAGGTAATTTCCATAATCTATAGTATGGGCGTCCTAAAAAATAAGTTAGTTAATCAAAATTATTCAACTTTATTAAATCAACAAAAAACTTACTAAAGAAATTAGAAAAAAACTTGTTGAAATATCGGGTATTAATTGAACTTCTTGAGCTTGTCTAAGTATATCCAGAATTTTTTCAGAACTACAATCCAAAATGATTCTTCTAATACCCGATTTCTTAACTTCTTTCAATAGAGATCTTTGATCGTCTCCGGGAATAAACTGTTTTATTAAAATATCATTTTTCTCGTATCCCTCTTTGTACTGTTGTATTTTCAAAATATCCTGTATATTAATTAAGTTTTGGGAATTTTCATATATTATAACGAATTTTTTCCAATCCAAACTTTTTACTATAGTGGCCAGACCCTAGAAAGGGTGTATTAATGTGAGTTAGTTAAAATAATTTTTTTTATACTTGGGAAAATAAATATGCATCTGGATATAAGTTCAACGTCGTTGGATACGGAATGGGATTAAATGGAATCCAGTGTGTCAAATAATATGGAATTCCCAAGTGAAAACAAATTGATTCGATTATTTTTGAATCTTCGGCGGTTTTAGGACCAAAAACTGCCAAATATCTCGAATCCTGGGCAATAGACTCACAAACTACAAGAAGAAGAATTATAATAGGTAACTTTGTAATGTACAGAGCCGAAAAAAAAAAGATTTTTAAGATATAATCTCTTGATGTCGATAACATTTTAATTTTCAGCTTTTTATTTCGAGGTTTCGACTACTTATTTATAAAAATAGAGAAAAAAAATGTTTCCACAACCTGAAAAAATAAAGTTTATGAAAATATATATTTCTTTGATGATGGTAATATTTTTATTTGAATCTTTTTACCAGTTTCTAATACCGTATAATCGAAAAAAAAACGGCGTCAAAGAGAGCTGGGAAATGACAATCGATTTTGGCGAGGTCAATCTCTAGACGTCATTTACTAAAAATCATAACATAACATTGATTATAGCAACTTTTTTGGCCTTATTTTGCTTTTTGTACTTCGTTTAGATTATAATCCAACTGGCAGTGAGTGCCACAAATCAAGTGGAGTACGAGCCAAGTAATCACGTCTAGGGCTTGACCTCGCCAAAATTGTTATCGATTATCATTCCCCCGCCGTCTTTTGCGCCGTTTTTTTTTCGATCATACTGTATCTCCCCTTCAAATTTGTTTTTTTTTTGTCGATTGATCAATTTTACTCTTTTGTGGAAGTAGAACAGTTTAAGAACAAATTTTCTTACATATTTTTCCAGATTCGAAAGCATCTCCATTAGGCACAATCTTTGTTTCTGGATCCATAAATCCTACCTTTTCATGAATATTATCTCTAATAACACCCCAATTTATTGGATGTGACGATTGGTCCTCGTTGAAAAATGCACCTAGGAAGAAAAAAAATATATTAGGTACTACTAGCGTGTACCCGCGATTTCGTTCGCGTCGAATTAATCATTTGTAATGGTGATGATACAGCAAAGCAAGAATTTCCATTAACATACAAACTGGATAAAATTTTCTCACATTTATTTCAGCATGAGAAAAAACAATATGGCGATATTATTATATAACTTGACAATATTTGAGGGGTAGTTTCATCTCGTTGAAATTTGACTTTCGAAAAATCCGTTTGCCAAAAATAAGCTTTTGACATCAAGCAGTTTAAGCAGAATCGTGGTTAATCAATTACCCAACTTTTTGGAACACTCTGTATGATTTTTTAAAAATTTCAAAATATGTAAAAAACAAAACATCAAATATCGGTTTTTTAAATAACAAATATTGTAATATTTGAGGGGCGTTTTCACCCTCTTGGAATTTGAGATTCGAGAAACCCCTCCTTATCGAACCTCTACACCCCACAGCTTTTCCCCACAGTCAATCCGTTTGCCAAAAATCAGTTTATTACGTCAAGCAGTTTAAGCAGAATCGTGATTACTCAATGGTCATATTTTATGAAACACTCCGTATAAATTTTTAAAAAATCTTAAAATATGTAAAACAACAAAATAAAATATACCGTATGATCGAATAAAAACGGCGTCCAGTTGGCTTGGAAATGACGATCGATGGCATTTCCTATATAAATTTACATATAAAATGACAGCGATCTTCATTTCATAGCCATCGCTGACGCCGTTTTATTCGATCATACGGTACGTGTTTAAGAGTTTTTCCGAAAAACTCACCGGTTTTTAAATAAAAAATATTCTAATATTTGAGGGGTACGTGGTTACACCCCCTTAGAATTCGAGTTTCGAAAAATCCCTTCTTATCGAACCTCTACACCCTAAAGTCAATCCGTTTTCCAAAAATCAGCTTTTTACGTCAAGCGCTTTAAGCATGATCGTGATTAATCAATGACCAGATTTTTCGAAACTGTATACATTTTTAAAAAAATTTAAAACATGTAAAAAAAACAAAATAAAATATATGTACGTGTTTAAGCGTTTTTTCGGAAACTTGACCGTTTTTTAAATAAAAAATGGACTGGAATTTCGAAAAATCCCTTCATATCGAACCTCTACACCCTAGAATCAACCTGTATGCCAAAATTGAGCTTCTTACGTTGAGTGGTTTGAGCAGGATCGTGATTAATGAGTGAGTCAGTCACTTAATTAAGGAGTTTATGTATTAGTATAGATTGTAATAATAAAATATGTTTTTAATAATAAAATAAAACATGAAAACATTATCTTCATTTCAAAGCCATCTCTGACACCGTTTTATTTTTGATTATATTTTATATAAAGTATACACCGTTTAAAAAAAGACATCTTTATACTATCGTTATACTTTTTTTATTAATATGTTTTAATATTAAAAATATTTAATAACAATGACATATTTTGATTTAAATGTATGTTTAAAGAACATGAACACTAAGAAACTTACCAATTTTAATGATCTCATTAGCCAGACAGAAGTAATTGTAAGCAACAAAGCTGAGCAACAATATTACATTTTGAAAAACTATCTTCATTTTGTTTTAATATACTCCTCACAAACTTTGTGTTTTTTCATAATACGTTTACTAGACGCACCCGTATGTTTGAAAATAATGCCTGACAGAATGCTTTTTGTGGGTAAACTGTGTCAACGGCATCTGTTGAACGTTCTAGGTCCAGAAATATAACAGTCCATGCTGGACCATTTTGGAATAAAGAAATGCCTCAAACAAGACGATATTTGTTTCGCATAAAGTTTTTGGTCATTTGCCAGCGATATAAACTTAAGGATAGACAAAAATAGACCTATTAACGTTGTTTTTATGAGAAAATTACTAACATTTTGTTCTGCGTAATGTTTACATTTCTGTATAATGTTTATTCGAACTCAGTGTCATTCAAAATGAATGAAGGTTTGGCAGTAAACTTTTAACAAGATAGAATACATAATTAAATACCATAAGATAAAAAAACGGCGTCAAAGATGGCTAAGAAACAAAAATCATTCATTTATATGAAAAATTTAATTAAAAATTTGTAAATTTTATCAATATTGTCATTTCCAGGCCAACTTGACTCCTTTTTTGATCATATCAATGACTAAAGAATAATAAATATGGTTTTTTTATTATGGAAAACAAGTTGAAAATTAAGATACGTATAAATTTGTTAAAACATTTAATAATAATAAAAGTATTTAGACACGATAGATATTTATGGGCAAAAATTATTTTTTAAAAATGTATTTCTAAATTATTTTTTCTAAAATAAATATTAATTTTTGACAAATCTTCCTGTCAATCTTGTATGAAAATCCCGACCGAAGAGAATTTATCGTAGGTTGTCATTTCAAAAGCTACTAATACGCCTTATTTTTCGATCATTCGGTATTTGTAGGCTTAAAAGAAAAAAGTTAATTTTTTTAATTCAAAAATGTGATCTTCGCTCAAGAGTAATAAGTGGCCTAATTTTTAAAACATCGAAAAAATATATAGAAAAGTTTATTATTATATTATGAGAAGGATATATATTACTTTATTTAAGGCACAATACTATGAAAAATATATTACCGATATGCAAGTATTTTTTATTTTTATATTAAATTAGAGATTTTACTTTTTTCTTTTTCGATTTATATATGTGGTAGACAACCAGTGAAACGCATAAATTTATTTAATCCTGTTTTTCTATATTACCGCCATCTATGTTTTATTCACTGAATTATTTATTATTTCTAATAGAATTCTTTAGCTACAGATTGTTAGTTTTGTTATATACTACAGATGTCACTTGGAGTTTTAAAACTAATTTATTAGTTTTAAATATTTAATCAAAAATTACTGAATATTTTTTATTTCTCTATATTGGCAACTAATGTAAAAATATTGCTTTTTGTATTTATGCGAATTAATAACAGCAAAGAAATTTAATTACTGGCGATATATAATAATGATTTTTAATATCTTTGTCAATTAAAGTTATTTTCTTTTTAGATCTCCTAGGACAGACGTTAATTTGAATTGAGGGTGGTTGAACGACTGGAATAATTTGTTTTAATAATATAAATTGTATCGAACCACACCCTTTTAAATACATACGGGCATACAGGGTGACTTTTATTCGATGTTGGCTATGCTCGAAGCGTCCCAATCAAACAGGCCAATGGGTGTCTTGTATGTTTCGCTGTTCCGGAGGGGCATTCGCCATCTTGATGCGCGATTATGCGCGTTGCGCGCCGGTTATCTTTCAGTTGTGGAAAACTTGGTCCGTTGAAAAGTTTAGTTCCGTGAAAGTGCGTGTAAGTTAGGATTTTCGTGTCTTGTTTTACGGAATTTCTTCCAGATAAAGGTAAGTTGTAAACAGTTTGTCACTTAAACGTCTTTTCAAATCGTAAAAACGTTAATTTCGTGAAATTTCCAGCTAAAACAGAGCCGTAGTTTCCGTGAAAACGAGCAATTGCAAATTGCCGGTCGCAAAGGGGATGTTAATTAAGCATGTTTTAAAGACCCCAAAAATAGAATTAGCATGTTCGTTTAAAAAACTTGGCAATTATATTGGTACAATTTTTTATTGCTGTTATAAGTTAAGAACCCGACGATAATTAAATTGCTTAGTTGATGATTTCTTTGTTTATTGTCGTCTCGTACGATTCCAGTACGAACAAAGAAACAATTAATAACAGAAAGACAAGTGAGCCAATGAAATTGTCGACAAACGGTCTTCGCAGAAATCATTAAAATACAACAAACTTAGGTTAGGAATTGGCATGATGATGGGCAAAGAGACCTTAAAGGCAAGGACAGCAGCTGTTGGTAACATCATTCAGTGGCGGAGATATGCGGGTTTATTTTCCTACCGAATTCTACTTTGTCGTTCAATTAATTATTATAATTTTTAGGCCTATCTGTCGCAGCGAATGAAATAATAAAGAGAGACAAAGTTAATTTATTGTCATAGGTCGTGTTAGTTGTGATTAAAATAAATGAAAACACTCTGTGAAAACACTATAATACAATATTTTTGTTTTTTGATTAGTTACTAAGTACACACTTTGTTAATTACGTACCTATACATTACAAAAAAGCCAGAACTTATTAAATATTTACTATACAACTGTCACAATGTTTATATTTTGAAATGTTGCAATATTTCACAGGAATTTCAAATAAACATGAACACAAGTTTATAATATATTGCAAGAATAGATACACTACAAAGAAGTAGGGCTAGCTTTTCAGATATTTTCGAAGAGTTTAAAATATTAGAACTGCTAAACTCTGTCCAATGAGCAATGAGCTAGGGAGGATCTCGACAGACGAAGACAAGTGTGCTTTGAAATGACAGATACAACTGTCACTGTCATGTATTCTCTCGCTGGTCAGACTATAGATTGAGTTATTGATATAGTGTTGAAGGCGCATAAAAATAAAGCTACCCAGTCCATAAAACAACAGCTAGGTACACACCAAACATGTTTTAAACAAAATCCAAGTACATCCAATGTCAAAAATTGGATTAGTAACAGAAAAAACTTTAACATTTAAGAATCTTTTACTAATATCGACATTCTGCAATTAGTTGACAATATAAAGATGAGTTATTTATCATATAACGATATTTTAAATGACATATGATTGACAAAAGACTGCGGTAATGCGGTAACACAAATAAGAATCCTTCAACTCGATTACTTAGTATGCTGCACCGCAGACATAGACCAGACATTATTCAAATCGCGGTCCAAAATAGGAACAAAAATGCGACCTTGATTTTTCAAAGTGGATATCAGGCCGTAGCCGCCTATATTCTCCAGCCCACGAGGATGGTACCTTGACTTGGTACCTTACCTTTGGTTACCTACGTTGATATGGCTCTGAATATTTTGTTGTCCATTTTTTCTTTGGATATATTAATATGATTATTGAATATTAATAAATCATGTATACAGGGTGTATTTGATTATGTATAGTTAATACAACAAAAGAATGAATGACAATGACGTCTTTGTGGTCTATTTTGTATTAAAAATAGGTTGAATCATCTATATTTTTTGTCGACTGGAGAACTTTATATAATTTTATATTAGTATCCTTAATTGTTACACGGCGTTTTATAACCGTGCTTTGGGGATCTTCATCTAGGTCCGATAAAGAACTTTATAATACTGTGTACTAGGATGGATGAGAAGATTTTGCATTAAAAAAATGAGATGCCTGTGAATTAAAATGACAGACACAACTGTCACACTGTCATGGATCCTCTTGCTGGACAGACTATATTTCGGATAATGTAGATACACTTGTACAGGATGTCTTAAAAAAGTTTGGTGGGTGGAGATGATTTTTTAAATGTACAAATCCATTTAAAAAATGGATTTTTAAAATTATTGCATTTTTGGGTTTCTTTCTGTTCACTTTACATAATAGTAAGATGTTAGTTAATAGGTATGTGTTAGAGGTCCTGTAGAATTGTGCATCTATTATCTTACAGTCGAAGGTTTCCTTAATAGTAGGATGATAATTCTCGAGTCAGTCCAAAAAAAACTGCGTTACGTAAGAATACGAAAAATATTTATTCAGTAAGAAACTGTGGTAGAGATCCGTTGTTGCTATTAAATACTTATTTTTCTCTAAGCAACAGTATTATTTGAGAGATCCCTTACATCAGAAGTGAGATCTTTTTTGTGTAGTGTGTGCCAATTTGTCGCAGTAAATTCTGGTACAAAATTAGCCTTGCTATTTTTGCTGCGAAGTAAAAGGAAAAATTCACTTCCACTTGTTCAACATGTTCGTCTTCATCAAAGAGATTTCAAATTGGTAATTTAGTGCTCACTAAAATTGCAAGTATACCAATCATAACGACAGCAAAAAACTATTGGACACGTTCGAACGTTCGAATTCATTGTTAAAGTGATTGAAGTGTTACCCAATTACCGATTCAAATTGAAGAAGGATATACATGCTACAAGATCGAGAACTCTTTATGAAGCAGTTGTGTGTTGTGTGTCTTGGACACATGGAGCCATTTGAAATTAGATATTGCTGAGTAAGTCGAATTCATATATTCCTATATTCTAGCAATTCAAAGTTATAATTTCAATATCCTACTACGCAGTTTCAGACAAAAGATATATATTCACTTTTTCTTTTTAAAAGAGATACTGTCAACTTGCTGACATTATACAGAGTGAGTCTTAAATAAGTGCAAATATTTTTAGGGGTAGTATATTTCAACCCCAGAACCACGTCTATGAGGCTCGTCAAAAAAAATTGAAATTTTGGAATTATTTTATTTTTTTTAAATTTTAAGTAAAAAACGTAGTATCTCCATAGTATGACAAAATAGATAGTAGATTAAATTTACAAGAAAGAAAACTCAGAATGATCCAGTAGTTCTCAAAATTTAAGCAAAAAATCATTTTTTTTTTTAATTTTTAAAGTAAAATAATGTCGATTATTTTCGACTTATTTTTATCGAGATCTACCAGCTTTGAAAATATTTGCACTTATTTAAGACCCACCCTGTATAGACAAACGTTAAAAATACAAGAAATGCTTTGAGGTCGAAACTACGCTCGGTTTTTGCTCTGTACTTAAGTAATCGTAAATTATACAGGGTATTCAAAATTCAATGCCACATTTGCTAAAATTGAAAATAATTTTTCGTATATTTTTTTTAAGATATGTATTAAAATGTTTTCTAGTCTGTATAATGAAAGTTAGAATTAGAGTTAATAATGCAATAATGTTATATTAAATGTTCAATATTATAAAATATTTTATGATTTATACATATAGTATTTTAAAAGGGAGTGTCCAGTGTATGTT